CATGCGGCCAGAGCACTCAGAGCATCCAGAGCTTACTGGGAGACAAGCGGGAGACAAGTGGGAGACAAGTGTGAAATCATGCGGCCAAGCACTCAGAGCATCCAGAGCTTACTGGGAGACAAGTGGGAGACAAGTGGGAGACAAGGGTGAAATCATGCGGCCAAGCACTCAGAGCATCCAGAGCTTACTGGGAGACAAGTGGGAGACAAGTGGGAGACAAGGGTGAAATCATGCGGCCAGGAACACAAGCCCGGAGACAAACTCAAAATCATCCGGCCCGAGCATGCACCCCTTTAAAAGGAGTAAGAACCCCTCACAGGTAAACCTGTTTGGGGAAAAACATGCCTTTTCCGCTGTACAGCTGCACCCACACGTGTACCACAGCACCGGCGGACAGGCGGACAGGCGGACAGGCGGAGAAGAACAAAAACCAACGGATCTGGCGGGGCGTCAGGCTTTCCTGCCTTGTACTGATCGGTCTGAAACTGCTGGGTGCTATACTTGCTCTCAGCCAAGGCCCACGCACTCGAAGAAAACACTTGACCTCAGTCTGAGCGAGGTAAAACGTCTCGCGCTTGCGACCGAGAGAACCTGTGCACGATGTTCGCAGAGATGCCCGCAAAAAGGCACCCTCGCTGCGACCAGACAAGAAACATGCTAGGGGGGCAGTGATGTCCGAAAAACAAGAAGACCCCCGAAACTTCTGTGTGTGTGCGCGCGGCCTAAAAGACCAAAAAGGGAGGTCTTCGACGCCTTCGACGCCCTCAGCTAGGGAAGGGGGACCCCTCAGCTGGGTGTGGGTCAAAGCCTCCACCACCCAGTTTCATGGGAGGTTGACCTTCCCGAACAGAGGAGGAATCGGTTCATCTGACCCAAGGGGTCTGGCCGCTCGGGTGCCATGGACCCACAGGTCTGGCCGCGAAAAAGCCATGGAGAAGTGCGGGAAGCCCAAGCAGAGAGGATCCTCCGAAGCTCAGACCTTTCAGGCTACGCCTGGATTCACTCCAAAGGCTATATGTCGCATCTGTCCAATCTTCTGGCAGCTCCCAAAGTCTTGTTGGACCCACTGAAAAGATCAGCTTTATTTTGTTGGTTTAATGGTTAAGTCACCCCAGCTCATGCAACATTTATATATAATATATATATATATATATGTGTGTGTGTGTGTTAGATGTGTGTATATATATATATGCTATCCGAAGATATCTGACCTCTATTGCTTCCTCGAGTCCTTCAAACTACTCAGCCAGCCTCCCTTCTCCGAGGGGCCATTGGCGCAGAAGCCAGGGCCTGTGTAGACCAGGCTCTCAGGTGCCTTGCAGCTGGTGTCGGGACCATAGGAGAAGTATGGCCCATTCTTCGAGAAGACTTCCCAGCTCTCAGCCAAGCCTGGCGGGGCGTGATTCCCACCAACGTCGGAGGGAGAAAGAGAACCATTGGAGAAAGAAGAGAAGCGTGTTCTTCCCCAAGCACGTGCCGGGCTTTCGCCACTGAAAACCAAACATGTTGGCTTGAACACTAGCCAAAGCCCCTCTCTTCAGGAGCCGGGGCTTACGTGCCACTCCATTCCCTACCTCCCGGCCCCAGCCGACGGCTGCACCGGACCGCAGCCCGACCGGACCATGCTGTTCATCAAATCCGAACTGGACATTCTGGATATCTTTCTCAAGCTGTTTAGCATAAGAAAATCTAAACTGACAAGGCTGCAAAAAAGTATTACTGAGTGAGTATATTATGATCTTATATACTGTATATATATAATTAGTATATATATATAATTAGCAACGTTAATTCTAAATCTTTAGATATGGTTGATAGCAAATTAAATAGAAGAATGAAGGATTGAAATTAACTGCAAATTATATACAGTAACAATCCTTTCGCTTGCGCCTCAAGCACTTTCGCAAGAAAGCAAACACTCCACATGCCGAGGTCTAACACGGTCCCTGCATGCTATATTCATCTATTTTCTGGGTGGGCATGGAATCGGCCCGGGATAGTGATCTCCGCGCGGCCTGTCGCTGGGGAGTTGCAGGTGCTCGAGGTACCGCAAAGTGCCGCTTGGTTGCTGCGGGTCAAGAATTGGTAGTAGGAATGGCCTGCAAGCACAGCCTTCCATTGGCATTCCTCGGAACAGCGGAAGGTCTGTGTGTGTTCTGAACCCTTAACAAGGAAGTGAAGTGCAAGAACTGCTGCGAGTACGAGTACAATTCAAACTGCTCAGGTGATATGTAACAATCTGCCACCCAACACCCCAACTTAACTTATCGAGCTCACCAAAACATAGGAAAATAAAACAAGAAGGAGGCTCATCTGGACACTGCAAGACGTTCCTCGTATCCGGCCATCCCTTTTGTCCCCCAACTCCACTCAAAACAAGGTCCAATGCCACTGGCAGAGCTTGTCCGCGGCTCTCCCACTCAAGCGGCCCCACCCTTTCTTGCTCGTCCCGGACCAAGTCGTTTTTTGGCTTTCGGATGCTTTCGGAGGGTGGGCTTCACGGCTTGTGGGCTGGACCCATCACTTAAAGGTTCATCGTTTGTTGCATCTTGTTGCTCATGTGTGCAACACTGATCAACCCCCCTTGCATTGACGATGTACACCAAGTCCGGAATCCATTGAATGTCTTGAACCAACGTCCTGGCGGTGTCGTCTCCCGACCTCTGACCCAGCCGCCCCACCCACGGCCCCTCAGCACAACGACCGAAACCACCACCTCGAAACAGGTCGTGGCCAAGGATCTGAGCGGTCAGCCACCGGCACGGCCTTTTCCAATTCCTGGCACTTGGTGTTGAGGCTCCCGAAAGATGGCCACGGGTCCCGCGCCATGTAGACCTGGCCGGTCGGTGTGCGGTGTCGAGCGAGATGGTGCGAGGCACTGGACCCGAAACCCACGAGGTTGGCGGCTAGGTGAGGGCCTTCTCAGTGATCCACCAGAGGAACGAGGACCAAAATGGCCTGTCTGTTCCGTACACACCCTTGCTTCTGTTCACACCATTTCTCCCATCCGTCCCATCCGTTCCAAATAGTTCCATGATTCCTTGGAAGTGCCCAACCTTCCCACTGCCATCCGCACCTTCCAGGTGGTTCCTTTCCACGTCGCCACCAGCCCGCCGCTCGCGCGGACCTTCGCGCCCGGGCGCGCGCCCGCGGCGAAGGCCACGCCGGCGCTGGCCGCGCAGTCGGAGTCCGGCAGGGCAGCGTCGCTGGGGGGGGACGTTGCCGAAGAGGATCTCGTAGTCTCCTGACCCATCCGGGTGGACCAGCGGAGAAGCGCGGCGCCGGAGCGGGACGTCGGGAGCTTCTATTCAGCAGGTGGGCTTGGAGGGCCCAAAGAAAGGCGCCGGAAAGGAGAAAACCACAGCTGCCTGCTGAGTGACGAAGTGCTTTCTGGGGTGCGGAGTGACGGTCCGACCGTGATGGACACTTGGGGAAGTTGGGTCGGGGCATCCATCTCCTCCTATTTCCGATCAGAGAGGAAGAAACAGTTGGCAACAAGCATGAAAGGCTATAGACATCAAAATCATCAGAATCCAAACATTGAAAAAACAGGTCCCCTTTCCTTGCATGGATGGATGACTGGCTGGATCAATCGCTTACTACGCGTCCAGCGTTCGAGCTTCAAGCCTTTCAAGCCTTTGCTCCAGGTCAAAAGCAAGGGCAGAACCTTCGTGAATCACCTACGTCTTGCAATAATTTGCAATATGACTCTGACTGTATAATATATAATATATAGCTAATATTGGCTAATTAGTTATATAATTCGCAATAATTTACCATATTGATATATCAATATTATATCATGATATATCCTGAATATGCTGTCGGAGTCCGAGCCCGCTCTCGTCCTCCATTCTCAGCATTCTCCTTCAGCGTGATCGCCGCAAACTTCATGCCTTGCACCTCGTTTTCACCGTTCAACGCCACCACCGAAAAAGCGGGCGCTCGCTCTTCGCATGTTCGACACCCTCGGATCCTGCCAGATCTAAGGCTTGTGAGAAAGCCATGCAAACAAAGTCTGCCCCCCAGGCTGGCTTATTCAGTCTGTCTTACCCAGGAATGCGACCCTCTCTCACAACAATCCCTGAAGCAATATGAATGCAATCACATGTCCTTACTTTTCGGAAAAAGGAGAAACCCAAGCGGTTCGCTCCTGCGACTCGAGTTGCCCTCCACGACCGGACCGAGAACGGCAGACCGTCCCCCGGTGGTGGGGTGGCGCCGGGGCACCTTCTTCCCATAGGCTCCCTGGCGATTGTAGGCCCACAACTCCTGCCCAGGTGTGGCATTGAGAGGGGCTAAGAGGCCCCAAAACGGACACAGGGAGCGTGAAGCTTTTGGACCGCAGGACAGCGCGGGGGATGTTCTTTGGAGAGCGTGCCTCTTCCTTAAGGGGGGGGGCTTTTAGCCGAGCGTTCTGACAGATCGGACAGAACATCATGGAAGTGAAAGTAAAAAACGTGGCAGTTCTGACAGGCGTTTGCGGAAGAATCGCCTGAAGGAGGGCAGGAGGCGAGTTTGGATATTGTTTATTGAATATTGTTATTTTATATATATCTTTTGGACTTTGGAGAATGTTTTCCAAGTGTCCTCTTTGGTTGGATCATGTTAGATTCCCAACCACTTGTCTTGTCTCGTGTGTGTGTGTGTGTGTGTCCATGGGCCACGCTACCCAACACCACCCCGACCGTTGGGATCTGGGGGCCAAAAGGATCCGCGTCGGTCGTTCGAAAGCCCACGTCGCTCCGACCTCCATGAAAGCCTGACTGAACGAGAACCCTCACGATGTTCCATATCATTGCACCCTCCCTCAACTTCCTCCCTTCCTGCACTCTTTTTAAAGCGAGTCACTCTGAAATCTGAAAGTCTCAGGTCAGAAGGTACATTCATCAATCAAAAGTGTCCAGGAGTCCTAGACCTGACTCGAGTTCACAACAAACTACACTGCAAATAATCACCAAGTCAAAACTTCAGTGAACTCCTCCAAATTCCCATCAAGATGTCCTCAATCCTTCCTCTTGACCGATCGACCTCCGCCATGTTTACCCACCACGCCTTTTTCAGTCACCTGCCTCAAAGACGTCTCAGTCTCCTCCCCTCCATCCTCACCACCCCCAAACCAAAACCCGCGGAACCCACCGGTTTGCCGGAGCCTCCGCGCTCCGTGGCGGCTGCTGTGGAAAGCTCTCAGGCGCCATGAAGCCCACGGGGTTCGCCGTGGCGCCGGCCGTGCCCAGGCAGCCCGCGAGGCGCTTGGGGTCGGTGAAGAGGTACATGCCTTGGGTCGTTCGTTCGCATGTCTTGTGGCAATGCAAAAACTGGTAGATCTCCTGGTGTTTGTTTGTGATCTTTTTCTGAAAACCGGCATCCCTGGGTTGACCTATCTGGAAGATCAAGCGACACGGTGTTGGGGTCACATGGTTTGGACCGATCCCCACATGAGGCAAGTTCCATGGCCTGAAGGAAGGATTGTAGACCGTTCACGAAATGCACAGTCCCATGGAGGGATCCTGCAATAGCAGTTGACAAGTCCCAGATAGAAAAACCAATGAAAAAGAACTTGTCTTGTCTCTCAAAAAGTCTTGGGACCTTGCAGCCCGCCCCTTCATTCCACGGCTCCTGCATGCTTCCCCCTGATCATCCCAAGCTTCCACCGCCCCACCCCCGACACACGCGACACATACATCGGCACACGGCCCGGTCTGAAACCCTCGCGAGACCTCGCAACCTCGACCTCTCAACCTCGACCTCTCGCGAGCTCGCCGAGCTCTCGACCGAGGTGCCCGAGTTGTTGTCGATGATGTGCTTCCCGGCCTCCAAGATCTTCCAGTAGATTCGGATCTGCGCGGTGCTTGGGTGCTTGGGTGCTTGGGAGTCTTTTCCCGTGCGCGGTTTGGGGCAAAGGGTGGACATGCCCATGTTTAGCAGCCCCGGGCATAGGCACATGAGAGTGAGGTGATGCTGAGCTTTGCCCATTGGTGTCATCCTGCTTTGACCATGCCAACTACTGTGTATGATCCCAAACAAATGCATCTTTAGCATTCACCCTCATTTTTGACTCTTGACCCAACCCCTTCCATTCTCAGCCTCCCCAACTTCCCCAACTTCCCCATCCCTCCGCTCGGCTCTCCCCTCCCATCGGATCCATCCAGCTCGGCACCAGACCGCGCCTGGTTGGGATAGACCTTTCCCAAGTAGCTCCCCACGTTGCCGGTGTCCGTCCAGCCCTCCAGACCCACCTTCCGCCAGCGATCGGAGCGCAACCTCGGACGGGACGTGCCATGCGCCACGTGTGAAAAGCACCCGGTGACACGCATGACGAAGTGGCGGCCGAAGTCTGAAGAAGTGGCGCGGGGCGACCGGAGTTCGCAGTCCCAAAGTAAAAGGAAAAGAACTCTCGCAGCGTGGGGTGCCCGACAAAAACACCAGTGTTGGTAGTGGCAGGACCAGCTCATTCCGGTCGGCGGTGTTGACGTCCCGGGTCCTGACGACGAGGGTCGACGGAGAGAAATCGGGTGCCGATTTCGAACCGAGTGGAGATTCAGCCGCGTTCGCCTGAAAAGGGATATCTTTCTCGCTGCGCTCAAAGGGAATGAGAAGGAATGAAGTAGAGAACTGTTGCGGAAATGGAACCCTCAAGTTGAACGCCGAACTGGTGTTGCTTCCATCTAGTGGCTGAAACCTCACCAAAGACTTGGTGGTGGGACTCAAGAATTAAGGAAACCCGGGATGTCTTCCTAAAACGTCCACAATGATTCTGACAATGATCAATGAATTGTGACTTCTATTCGTTCTAGTATATAGTTCTATGAGTTCTATGTTTCAACTTTCTTGTCTGACGCAAGGTGTTCAGACATGCTCAGATTCAAAGGACTGACATACTGTAAACATAAACAAAACCGCACAGATCAGGCAACAGTGAGCTACTCAAGTTCCAAGCTTGTACGCTTGTACACGTGCCGCCTGGTGGGCTGGGTCACCATTTACTGGGATAAAAGCTTGTGGAAGACTTGGACAAACGATTTTAGAGTACACTCCCTTTTACTAACAAGGACCCTGAGAATGGCATCCTCAAAGACCGTTTTCCTGTACAAACCAGTGGTGTTTAGGGTCCATGTTAGTTTTCAACGGGGTAATTGGTGAGAACAACGGAACAGCAGCACTGAAGAATAAGGCAAGAGACAGCGAACGCCCAAATGCCTATGGTCCACCAATGTGTTGTTAGATATTGTTAGACTGCAGGCTGGTGGGGTGTGATCCCCCACCACCTGGCAGAAAGGCTTATTTCTCCAAGCGTCCCTTTCATCGGAAAGGCGGAGGCCAAGTATTTCGGCAGCTGCTGATAGGACACCTGCCAAATGGATATCACGGACGGCCATTGTGTTGACCAAACAAGATAGTGAGCACTCTCCGACATGTATCATGTATGTATCACATCTAGTTGGGCAGTTGCAGCTCTCAAAATAAAGGTCCTATTACTCTTGCATCCTCCCATTCTTCGACCTTCCTCCCCCCTCCACCCCCCAGCCTCTCCACAGGCCCATCGCCGCCCAAAGTGCGCCGTCCTCGGTCTCCACTCGCGCGCGGTCGCGCTCCGGAGCCACGAGCCGGTGGCGCTCGGAGAGAAAAGCACGGGTCGGTCCCTCACGTTCTTCCGCGCTCCGAGGCGCAAGGCGTCTTTGGGGCTTTGGAATCGCCAGGTCAAGGGTCGATTCCGCCAACGGATGCCGCGCGGACTCCATCCCTGGAGGCGGTCCACGGGACGAGCGGTGGCTCCGTGGGAGGCCCAGATCCGAATGGGAAACAAGTCATTGGAAGCACCTGAGGTGTATAAGAGCTGTTTGGATGTAAGTAGTGCTAGCTACCAGTCTTTTTCGATCACAGCTCAAATGCCCCGTGGCGGCATGGATTGAACCATTCTCTGCAACTTCGATATCAGGTACCACCTGGCCAACCGCTGGTCAAAGGAAAGCCAATCGACGAACATCTGTAGACATTCTCCGAGAGGTTTGGGCATGCGACACATCCGCGAGTGCTACGCGCGCGACACGCGCTATGCGCGCAAGATGCGCGCGAGCGCTACGCGCCTCGCAGCAGGCATAGACCTGCGCCACGGCTTGCCATGTCAAAATCAGTGTGAGTGCCCCCATCAAGGCCTACGCCCTCTGGACTGGTAGAGGGGTGTCAACGTGCTGGGTGGCTGAAAGAGTGGAGAAGGTTCTCTCAATCTTTGAGATGGCCATCAAAAACTATAGCTAAGTAGCGGTTTGTATCTTTCTTGAAGGAGAAGTAATTTTGGAAAAGGATTGAACAAAAACAAAGGGCAGATGTGGAAACAGAGCGTGGAGTGGAAATCCAGAAGACCCGCCACCGTCCGCCACTTGTGAGGGAGGCTCTGGTTTTGGGGGGAACGCCGGACACGGACCGAAAAAGGTTCAGGGATTCAGATGGATTCAGGCTGGTTGAGGGACCTCCACTTGGTGCTGATTGAAATCCCCCCCGGTACTTTGGGGCATCTCTGAAGGAGTTCACCTTCAGCCATCATCTGCCAGTGGTCTTGCTGTGCGTACAAGGTGGACGAAAACAGGCTCCACCTTTTCTCCAATTCCCAAGACCATCCTCACACCTGCCGATTCAATTTTGGGGGGGACAGGTGGTGGGCATCTTTTGTGCACAAGAGGGACGGTATATGTAAGATTGATAATGTATGATAATGTAGCATACTGCGCATAGATACCAGGACCCCCTATATAAGGCTCCTAAGGGGTGTCTGATAATAGCCCCTTAGAGGTGAAGGGAAGGGGGGGTCATGGGGTGTCCCTTAAGGGGTCCTGGTAGAGGTTCATGATCAAGATCCCCAATGGATCCAGTTCGCAGGACGCTCAATTGAAGGTGGTTCACTGTTCGATCTATTCAAGTAGTTTAAGTCAATGAACCTTCTGAAGTATGACCCCATCCATCCATCCCCATCCCACCGCGTCCATCCATCCCATCCCACCAGGTGGGTTGGACCAGCCCCGCCTCCTTCAGGTCCCGGCGCTCGTCGGCCATGGGCCAGGTCCAGGAGCTGGAGGCCTTGTCGTCGGTCATCTTCTTACAGGTCGGGTGAACGTTCACCGCCTCGGCCGGAGATCAGGAACGGAACTTCCCGTAGTTCACGGACGGGGAGTGGTTGCGAGGGATGAGGTGGAAGCATCGTGCTTTGGGCAGAACGAATGATATCAAATGATAGATCCATGATATAGATGAGATACGATCAGACAAATGCGAGACCGGCGGACCGGACTTGACAGGAGCTTGCCGTGACCCCTTTCTTCTGTCAAACAAGCTGATGTCCGTGCACTCCAAAAAAGAATCCCGCATCCCTCATCCCACCCAGTCGAACCGAACCCCCCCAGCAGGTCGCCGTCGCCGTTCTGCTGGGCCCCTCCGACGAGTCGGCGCATCGATCCTGAGCTCGACACGCCCACTTCCACGTAGTTCGGTGACTGGAAGTCGTCCTCGACGATGGGGCACCAGGCGTCCGATTTGGACTGCAGACCTGCGTCCGCCGCGGTGATCAAAACCAATGCCTACAATTACAAAATTACAAGTATACAAGATTGTACAAGTGTCAACAAGACACAGCAAAATTGGCAAATCTAGCACTTTGTCCTCAAGGCACAAACTCAATAACATGTTGAGCCCTCTTGAAGAGAGGCACACTCTGAAATGGTTTCATCAGCTACCAGCCGCGGCAAAAGCAAGAATGTGCGGTCTTTTGCGCCGCGCCTCCAATCGGCCGCAAGCCCTGCTTGTGACACACTTCCGTGAACCTGAGTCACAGCACAAAGCACACCAAACACATGGGCCCACAAGGGTTTCATGGGAAACCGCAAGGGTTGTTCATGGGTTTCAGAAATTCCAAGTCCAATTGGAAAATGAAACATCCAATGATTTGTTTGGTCCTCAGGGAGGACTTCAGATGGGTCAGCAGTACTTGGATCGGTCGCTCAGGGTCCCCTTGAAGAGGACCACATGGAAACCACTGGTTTGTATGTAGTGGAAAACAGCCTTCCAAGCAATGGGGGCCATTGTAAAGGTACCATGTTGGCTTTCCTACAGTTGTTCGATGTTCAAATCGCATTGAACAAAAAAACAAAAAAGCTCCTGGAACTGGCGTCCTCCACTTCCACGGTTTGTTTCTGGGTCATGGACGTGCAAAGCCGCTTTCCACGGCTCTCGCACTTCTCCTGAAGGGGGGCGGGCAACATCCAAAATCTCTGGCAGGCTGGCAGGCGACCACCCCCGGAATATCCTTGAATCCCCTTTCCATTCCGAACCAACCAGGGCGAAACCATAGATTTGGTCGATCCTCATATCAAAAGGTCTCCTCAAGACTTCCTACATACAGACACTCTGTGACACCAAAAGCGAAGGCATGTTCCTCTCTGCCAGAAGCAGCCAAATTGGTTTGACCCTATTCCCCAAAAGATGATGATTTTACCCCAATGGCCAGGTTCTCCGATGTTCTCAGCGTTCCGTAGGTCTTTTGGGGAGTTTCAGCACAGAAACAGCGAACATCTTCAGATGCAGAACCCCTTGCACCGTCTTCCTTGGGCACCGCCCATGCGGAAGCCCGGAGGCCCCCGCTCCCAGACGTCGTCAGGCCGAGCCCGCGAAACTGGAGCCGTGGTCTTGGGAGACTTCGGAGACTCCTTGAACTTGGACCAACTGAGGGCCATGTTGTTCTTGTAGTAGGTCACGGCCTCCGACTCGCCACAAAGAGGCCCAAAAAACTCGAAAAAAGAACTGACTGGAAGAAACGCATTCAAGAGCATCGTGTAGCACGGTGACCTTGTTGGTGGCCAAACGCAAGTCTGCAATTCTGAGGGCAAACAATCATCAAGCTTCCAGCAGCAATATGAGTGCTTCACTGCTCCGAGAAGAGCCAACACGACTAATCTGGCAATGACATCAACATACCCATCAACTGGCAGCACCTTTTCTGCAAGTTCAACCGAATAAAGGCCGACACTCCGACTCACTAATAAGCAGTGGAACATGGCCTGTAATGTAACTTGTATACTCTAAATTTGTATAATGTGATAATACTATACACACACGAGAGTTTTCCGCTTCTATGTTAGTGAGCCAATAGCCGTTCAATAGCCAACCAAAATTCATCGGGTTGTTGTCAGGCTGGAAACACCAGCCAAAAGCTCGATGATCCATAAATGGCTCTCATCTGCTGTAGCTACCCCACTAATAGGGTTCCCCATAGTCACTTGAGAGGAGGGAGACACGAAAGGTAGGACAGCGGGAAGAGAAGA